ACACACACACACACACACACATACACACACACACACACACGTGCGCGCGCGCGAGCGCACACACAAACATACACATACACACACTGCCCTCAGACAGCGTTTAATTTTACACCAAATCCCTCTCGACGACAGCATTCTTTTCCTTTACTGACGCTCTCTTTTACTTCTACTCCGTGTGTCACTGCATGCATGGCATCTATCTTATCCTCAGACATCTGTAATATGGCGTCTATCTTATCTTCGGGTAGACGTATTCATAGCATCTGTCTAATTCTCATGTAGCTGCATTCATGACACATAATCTTCAGTTAATTGTACCGGTGCTCATGCCATCTGTCTAATCTTCAGGAAGTTGTACTCATGGCTTTAATCCAATCCCCAGGTAATTGTATTCATGACATCGATCTTATCTTCAGGTAGTTGTACTCATGTCACATCTATATAATCTTGTGGTAGTTGTACTCATAACATTTGTCTAATAATCGGGTAATTGTATATTTAACATCTATCTAATCCTCAGGTAGTTGTACTCATGACATTTATTTAAGCCTCAGGTAGTAGTACTGATGACATCTATTTAATAATCGAGTAGCTGTACTCATGACATTAATTTATCGAATCCTCAGGTACGGAGTGTTACACATGTAAAGACGTATTCTGCATGTCACAAGAACTTGTCACGTGCCCCAAGGACAAACAACTCTGCATGAACGTCATCTCCCAGACCATTCAAGGAGAGAGGAGCTTCAGCAAGCAGTGAGTATTTTTCTTTTATACTCCACAACAACACATATTATCGTGGTTGGTTTGTTCGTTTGCTTGTTCGTTCGTTTGTTTGTTTGTTTGCTTGCTTGCTTGCTTGCTTGCTTGTTTGTTTGTTTGTTTGTTTGGTTTGGTTTTGCTTTTTATTGTTTCTGGGGGTGTGGGGTGTTGGGTTTTTTTAATACACGTTTTACAGCCTTTGAAACACAATTGAGTCATAGAAGTGCCGACGATTAAAGATGTTACAAAGAGTAAGTTTTTTTTTCGTAAAGGGTTTTACGGCGCTGACAAACACAAAAAGAAATGGAGGAGAGATAAGTAAGATAGATTTTTTATAGTGAAGAAGGAGCAAACCACGCCAGGGCATCAGGGCATCTGCCAACCATCCACAACAACATAGTTTGGCTGGAATACGCAATATGGAAGCATCTATGTTGGGTTGGATTTTTTTTTTGGGGGGGGGGGTTAAGGTAATAATTTTCTCTTTTTGAATGTGAAGACCAAACCTTGCAAATAATTGGGCCAGAATCTGTGGAGAAACCATTCCGGTCTTTGCATTGCATGCAAAAGACATGAGTACGTTTCCAAAGCAGGAAAGTTATTCTTCAGGATTCTCAATCATTTATTTTTGTTGGAGTGTTTCCCCATACAGCCAGATTGTTCCTGTTGAGTAAATCTGAAACAGCTTACCTCATAAATGATGTTAACTCTGCCCATTAAGAGTGTTAGGGGTGCTGTGAAACACTCGCTTTGTGCCTCCCTCACCTGAGTCACACGAAGGCCAGTAGTCGAAAAGTGCATTATCTATGTGTGTGTTTGTGTGTGTATGTGTGTGTGTTTGTGTGTGTGTGTGTGTGTGTGTGCGTGTGTGTG